TGGGGGGGGGGGGGGGCAGGAGAAAGTTCTTGATCTGCTTAGAGGTGCGGACACAAATCTAACAAATGCACAAAACCAGGGACAATGAAGTTCTGTTTTTTGGTTTTTCAATGGACAGACAGAAACAGAGTTGAGAAGTTGGGGCATGGGGGTGGGAGAGAAGGGGGAAAGTGACAGGAGAGGTGATTAGATTAATTACATTAGAGGAAGTACTGAATTGCCTCACAAGTACCAGTCCTTACATACAAGGACACAAAAACCAGCACAAGAGACATTATTATAATTTGGCACTATTTGCACTCTTCACGAGCCCTCAGCAGCAAGTCCAAGCACACAGAAGTGGGGGCCAATTGTCTGGGCAGGTATGCCACAGATCAGTCCTGTACCCTCTGAAAGCTACTCCAATCCCCTTCCCACAACCGACCAGCTGCTCTGCTTTCTGTTCCCTCCCCGATCTGCCACTGCACTGCCTGTCCCCTCCATGATCCATCCTGTGCCACAGAGACTGCCCTTGCCATTTGTGGTACCCCTGCTATAGGTCAACAAAATTGGAAGCTAAACAGATTGCAAGATCCTTCATATCCTAATCTCTGATTTAGGAGTGCTTTGTTTCACACTACATGGCTTGCTGCACCATACTGGGAATATGGTGCAGCAAGCAGTGTAAGCAGCTATCTTATGATTATGACAGAACTAATTATGTAGGTTGGACAAACCAAAAAGCTGCTGTACACTCTTAAATGACTTTTCCTTCTGCTTTTTATAAAAAGAAAGCTTACAAGCCAGAAGTTTTGGTGTCTTGCTCATATACTCCTTCTGCGCTTGGGCATAAGACCTCATGTTAAAAATGTTTTTTACCACACACACACGTAGGAGGGTAAAAATTAAAATCTTATACAACTAAAAGCCAACCCTTGCCATTCATTCAGCTACTGGCACTGCCATTACTTCACTCTAAAAAGGGAATGCAGCTGACTCCAATTATCCATGCCATAACGCTTACATATTAGCATCTACACAGTGGCTCAAAAAAAGTAAACTGTAACAAATGAGATGAGCGTACCATCAAGAAATGTTTTCTGATCAGGAATGAAGAAAGCTCCTGAGCACATGGCTACCAGAACTAGAAGCTTAATGAACCAGAACCTGCAACAACAACAGCAAAAAATTTAAATTAATTAAATAAATAAAGAATGAAGAAGAATCAGAACAAATACAAGTTTTCAAAGCAACTAAGTACTGTCCGTCTGTTCCAGATAACAGCTGTACTTTTAGCGATTCCTCTGTGATATGTAGAATCAAATCAGCCACACTCATAAAACTCCTATGTACACAATAATATACATCTGTTGGATGTAAGCCATTAAAAAAACAGAAAAGAAAGGTAGTAGGATTTTAGGAGAGAAGGGGGAAAAAAAATAAGCAGACAAACTAATCTTACCCATTGTGAATATACGCTCGGCAGCTTTTACTACTGTTGATTCTGATGGTGAGTAAAAAGAAAATAAAGAAGAAGCACGCCATTCCAAAACAGACTTTGTACACTGCCGAGTACCCCACCAGCTTCTCACATGTTTCACCTGCCTGGAGGTGTCTGCACATCTCCTCATAAAAAGGAATCTGAAAAAAAGTAGCAATTTGACATAACACAGGTCTTCCCATAATTAAACAAACTACATTAATATAGTTCGTGTGTTGGACTTAAACATGGCAAACTAGCGGCATTTAACACAGAAAAGCTAAGCTTTAATGTCTCCAAAACAGTCTCGGCTACGTGGGACATAGTATGTGAAAACGTAGGATACATCAGCTTGTAATAGACTAAAGCCAGAAGTGACAACTATTAAACTCTCCTCAAATGCACCCTTCCCTCTGTTGGTGAAATTGGCACCTTAATGCCACATAAAAATAAGTTACTAGAACGATAGGAAAATTCCATCCTTTTCCCGCAACTTATTAAATATTTGCCTTTGAGGCCTTGTCCTAACTCTAAGAGAAAAGCAAACAGCCACACAGATTGGCTTCAGTCTCACCACACTGGTGTGGAGATGAATACTCAGTGAGTGTCTTGAAAAGCAGATTTCTGTGGACTTGACTCCACCATGTACCGTCTCTCTAGGTAGCCTGTACCCCACCCCCTTACTGTCAGTGCAGACCCCAAATAGAAACATTTCATTAGGAAAACATCATCAGATGCAAAGAAAAAAGGTCTCTATCCTCAGAGCCACCTTTCTTACCCGAACAGTATAAACATTATGAAAGTAAAGACATTTGCCGGGAACAAACCCCACACGCGTCACAAATTCAAGCAACAAGATTTCAGTGCATGTCCAGCCTAGGCTAGTTTTAAGTACAAGACATGACCTTGCGAAACATACAAAGGTTGTAGAAGATGCACTACACAGAAAAACAGCACAGCTTGAAGGTTTTGGCTTATTATAGCAGAAAACCAGATATGCAAAGTTGGAAAGGGAAAAAAAGACTGCATGGTCTGATTCTCGAGAGTTGTGCCTCCAAATACTGTCACACTATGGCTAGATGGCCATCTGAGCCAGAATGACTTTAGTCAATATAAATCTAATATATAAAATATGCAAGGCAAAAGCTTATGACTATGGGCCCCCCCAAGTGCTTGCTTTGGAGAGTCATTCCTATAAACCTTGCCACTGGCAACAGTTAATCAAATTATAAGATCAATCAACCCAAGCTGAAGGCCAAAAAGAACATGCAATAGAACATGAATTTTTTGATCAATTATGACAATACAGAGTTAAGACAAGAAAAAGGAGGGTGTTTTAGTATACTAGAAACAAATAAACAAACCAAAGAAGGATTCTCAGCTAGGGTAATCAGCCCATTAGTACGTATGCAGAACTGTCAGTAAGCAAGGGGCTCTCCAAATTCTGAACACCTGTCTTCTCTGAGTCTTGAAAGGCTGGGGACATTTCAGAGACTAGAAGTGAGCTACCGTTGTGCAAGCATTCCTAAAGGGTAAATTGAATGACCAAAGTATATAAAGGCCTGTCATTCTGATATCAATATCAGCAGTTCCACCACTTTACCTGGGATTGGACAAAGAATTAAAAGGAAACAGGTATAGTTAAACATCAATGAATACTGTTTATGTAAAACAGATCACTGTCAAAGCAAAATATTTTTTAATGAAGTTATAAGTTTATTTGATAAAAGGCGTAACAGAATTGATGAATCAGAGGTCTGTAAGAAATCTGACTTAGTCCTGCTGATCATTTTAAGAAATGAAATACGTGCTTTAATGGGTTCTATGATGATCTTTGTCACAGTAAAAACAGGGAATCATCATTAATTGGATGTTTCTAGTGAGGGCTAATAGGCATCAGTTTTTAGCCTTATGCTGCTTAGATTTTTTATTAAATGGTCTGGAAGAAAAGTTACTAAAGGTCTACAGTTGACATGGACTGCTGAAAGAGAAATAATTATAAGGACAAGTCATTGATAAAGTCACTTGGATTCATTTAAGTTGTTTGGTTGCATCCAAAGTCACATGTAGGAATGAAGAATGCATGTCATCCCTACAGGATAGATGCATATCTTAGGAAGCAATGCCTTAAGACAGTAGAGGGGGAGAGGGGAAAAAAGCTGTGGGAGTTACGCTACTCCACTAAACACGAGCTCCCAGTGAGATGCCACTGCCAAATGGCTAATATGATCCTCGAATGTATAAGCAGCAGAATACTGAGTGGGAGTAAAGAGGTAGTCATAGCTTTAAGTATCCTCCTGGAAAAGATACATTTGAGGAGGGCTGTTCAGTCTAATGAAGTTATAACAAGATTCACTGGATGTATGTGGAACCTAGACAATTCCAACAAAACACTGTAAAAAGGAAGAATAATTAACTATTGGGATAACTTTTGGTTATCCCCCTAATACTTAAAAGTCAAGACCAAACGTTTTTGTAAAAGATATAAATCAGTTTAAACAGAAGTTTAATTCAGGCTAGTCCCACAGCCTTTGTTACACAGGACTAGATGATCACAATGGTCCCCTTCTGGCCTTATATCTGAAAACAGTTCTCATCTGGCAGACTGAGGAATGATTTGTAATGCACTGCTTCAGCACTTACATTTCTCCGCAACTCTAAACTGCTCAGAGGAATTAACTCTGTGCAGGACCTGAACACTGCACAAAATGGTTAACTCTGCCAAAAGTTTTCCTGAACTAGAACAGGCAACAAAGCAGCAAGCAGTAGACCCAGGGGAGACAGGAGACCCACTGAGCCCCCAGCCCTCCTGCTGGAGTACTGGCCATGGGGCCAGGATACAGCAGTGACTATTTCCTGTCCCTCACAGCAGCAGGTCCAAGGACAAACAAGGTCAGATACCTGTGGCTTTCTGCCACTGTCATTTTAGTACCTGGTTTTCAAATCCCCTCTACTTCCCTACTCCCCATCCCCCCAGTACCTGGCTCACAATTGATTTTGCTGTTTTAATGGTCTAACTGCCTGGTGTTTGCTCACTAACATAGACTTGCCACACCAAAGGTGGCCAACCTGTGGCACTCACCTGTGTGTGGCATGCAGCAGATCAGGGAAGGGATGGGCAGCACAGCAGCAGATAGGAGGAGGAAGGGGATTGGAGCGGCACTTGGGGAGAGTGCAAGGCAAAAGAGGTTGGCACCCTACTGTGCTACACTCTGTGCATACTACTTAATTTTGCCAGCTGCCTGACTACCTGTTTATTTGAAGTTTAGTACCTTTGATAGTGTCTCTCACCCCACTCATTAAAAAAAAAGTAGCCGACTGCAGTGGCGATGCTTACACAGTCAGATGGGTCGCAAATTGGCTAAAGGGCCGCACCCAGAGAGTGGTGGTGGACAGGTCATTTTTTACCTGGAGGGATGTGGGCAGTGGGGTCCCCCAGGGCTCAGTCCTTGGGCCCGCACTGATCAACATCTTCATCGGCGACTTGGACAAGGGGGTAAAAAGCACCTTGTCCAAATTTGTGGATGACACTAAGATGTGGGGAGAGGTGGGCATGCTAGAAGGGAGGGACAGGCTACAACTAGATCTGGACAGGTTACGAGGGTGGGTGGATGAAAATAGGATGGGATTCAATACTGACAAGTGCAAGGTGCTGTACTTGAGCAGTAAGAACCATCAGCATACCTACAGGCTGGGGAACTCCCTTCTTGTCAGCACAGTGCCAAAAAGAGATCTTGGAGTCACTATTAATGCCAAGATGAACATGGGCCACCAATGTGAGGACACTGTCGTAAGGCTAACCACACCTTGTCATGCATCCACAGATGCATCACAGCCAGGTCCAAGGAGGTGATCTTCCCCCTCTATACGACATTGGTCAGGCCGCAGTTGGAGTGGTGCATCCAGTTCTGGGCGCCGCACTTCAGGAGGGATGTGGCCAGCATCGAGAGGGTCCAGAGGAGGGCCACTTGCATGATCGGGGGCAGCAGGGCAGCCCCTATGAGGAGAGGCTACGGGACCTGGTGGCTGTCTATAAACTTACCAGGGGAGATCAGCAGGGAACAGGAAAGTCTCTGTTCCCCCCCCGAGCACTACCAGGAGTAACTAGGAATAATGGCCACAAGTTGACTAAGTAGGTTCAGGCTAGACATCAGGAGGCGCTACTTCACTGTCAGGGCGGCTAGGATCTGGAACCAACTTCCAAGAGAAGTGGTGCTGGCTCCTACCCTGGGGGTCTTCAAAAGAAGGCTAGATAGACACCTTGCTGGGGTCATTTGACCCCAGTACTCTTTTCTGCCGTGGCAGGGGGTCAGACTTGATGATCTGCTCAGGTCCCTTCTGACCCTACCAACTATGAACCTATAATGTTCCAAAATACTTGCTTACCTATTTAGATTGTTGTCTTTAAAGACAATAGGTGAAAAACCCTGTAATGGATTTTGACTGTTCCTGCGGGGAATTTCCCCACCAGTTGTGTGTGTGGGTACAATGATACTGGCATAGCTATGCTGGTAATCTCCCCCTTCCAGGGCCGTACCAAGACTCCTGGCAGCCCCAGGCAAATTTTTAGTAATTGGGCCCCCATTCACCAAAGATAATGATAATAATTGGACAATGGAAAAAAAATTACCATTTTCAGGCTCTTTTTCTGTCCGGGCCCTGGGTAGCTGCCCAATTCGCCCATGCCTGTGTCCAGCCCTGCCCCCTTAATAGACAAGCCCTTAGTCTGTATGTAAAGGCCAGGCAGGAAACAGAAGAAGGCAGAGATCCCAGAAATGGCACCGCAGGGCAGTAGGAATGGTGAGTGTGCTGAAACAAAACAGGAGACTGAGAAATCAGAGACTTTAGGAAGCAGCCTGAGGAAGCAGTGCCAGTGAATATGATAGGTAGAAGACTGCAAAGCAAAAAGAGGAAAACATGGAAGGAAAAGCATGCAGGGTGCCCAAGTGGGGACCATATTACTAAACTTCTCATTCAACCCTTTGTTTGATATCCTAACTCATATACCTACCTCTTTTTTGGTCTTAATCTGCAACCTTGCTCCCCAAAGTCTAAGAGCATAGGGCTGGAATAATCTAACTTTAAAAAACAAAACAAAACAAAGAAAGAAAGAAAGAAAAAGAAAATACCTGCTACATCAGTCCCCTCCATTGCCTCTTTCATTAGTTCAAAAGTGAAATGTTTCAGACCTTTTAACACCATCCATGAGTTAGCCCTTGCCTCTCCAAGGCATAATTTCAACCCCATGCCTTGGCTCCAACATGACCAGACTTTTCCTTTTGCTTCTTGCTCAAACAATCCTGATCTTTCTCCCATGCTGCCTTCTATACCTAAAAAAGTCTCAGAAATTCAAAAATCCACACTCATCTTCAAATGCAAAACTCTCCTGAGGCAGTATTTATAAAATGCTGTCAGATAAAGATAGTGAACCAAGACCTCTACTTGATCACTTTTACTGCCATTCTGCTCCACTGAAATGTTTCATCCACCTGCTCAGTCTCATCATGACCTGGACTGTGAGCATACTGGGGCACGTTTTTACTGTAAGTCCACACGGTGCCTAGAACAACAGGCCCTGACCCTAGATCAATACGTCTATATGCTACTGTGGAACAGAACAATCAAATAAGCAAACACAAACAATTGTTTTACTAGACAGACAACATTTGTTGCTGCCCCCGCCCTGACATTTTTTTAGATACTAAGTTAGAGAGATTCTGTTCCTAAGGCAAATCATTTACTACAGCTTTCAGACTTGGCAAACTTACAGCCAGGATAGAAGCCAGGATGGCAAAGAATTCAGATGGCCATGAAAAAAAAAAAATCTCCCAAAAGAAAAAATCCAAAAACACTTTAAATATGAGCTAGTTTTCATGGAAGAGTAAGATTCTTCCCATGTGAAAAAGGATGTTCTAAATGATCATATAAATATCTGAATTCTACACAGACAGGGTAGGCAGTGGGTCATATGCCATGCAGGTAATCTAATAAGATACTAGACCATGTCTGACCATACATGAGAAAAGCCTCTATTTTTACCAGATGGTTGGGCTATACAAACACTGATTAACTAGGCTGCTTACAGCCCAACTTCATTGGTTGCTGAGCAATGAAGATCCCATTGACAGCAGTAGAAGCAATGGGTGATCAGAGCCTCTGAAAATATATACATACATCTACTTGTATGTACACATGCACACTAAAATCAGCTCATAATTAACATGTTGCAATTTCCCAATCTGGACAGATTTGAAGGTACACTCTATTTAGACTGGGCTGAATTAACTGCTGAAGACTTTGATCTTTAAACAGCTCAGAAGATAGATACTAAATTAGAGGGGAGTTAAATTAGAGCAAGCATCATCCAGATGCTTCATTTCTCATTTAAAGCCATCAAATGCCCTAAATTAAGAGAGCAATTATCTCTCCTCTTCATACTAACAGCCACTCCTTTGTGTCACTTCTTCCCACTGCTGTGTGCCAGTGCTGAGATTTCAAGGCAAAGAAGCAGAGGAGAAATTTGGCACTACTGAAAGACATACTGTTGAGGGCTGCTTAGAGATCCTGAAGCATTTTCCTGTTTAGATTGGAATACTTGCTGTCAGCAACACAGGCTGCATTATATATTTTACTTCAGTAT